ACCATATCGACACTTTCGGTTTGATATCGTGTCAGTGGTAAGCAGGTACGTGAACCGGTTTTAAACCGAACAGGTTTTGAACCGAAAAACCGCTTTTTTCTATTAATTAACTGAACCATTAACCGAACCGAAATTTTCCACAAATGTTTGATCCGAACCGAAAACCGAACCACTTTCCATAAAGGTTTAAAGGTTCGTTTCAACCAATTTTCAAGAGATAAATGTACTCGATATTTTTTCTTTTTGTTAAACATGGTAATACCTACCATGTTTTTTACCATGTGAGAATATCAATGGGTTGCCTACCCATCTCATTTGACAGACCGCTTAACCTTGCGCGTTGTTGCACTTGGCACTTGACACTTAAACTTGCGCGTTATTTTTTTTTTTTGTTTTCCGAACCCTTGAACCGAACCGAAACCCCGGTTCAAAGACCAAAAAACCGCTTTGACGAACCAATCCAAAAGTGCAAAAATGGTTCGAACCGCTGAACCGAACCGACCAAATTTTTCATCCGGTTCACGTCCCTGGTGGTAAGTGCATTTTAAAATTTTAGGACCATAGCCTCATGCGATTATTGCGAAGAATTGCTTTGAAGGAACTCAAGCTCATCTCAAAATCTACTGATACGATACTCCACTTCAAAGCTCGTTCGATTTGTCGTTATTTAACAATTAAGTAATAGGTTGTGGTGTTTTTAGTCGTTATATTTTTATTCCACAACAGTCAAAAATATGTTTATCCCCAATTCTTCTATATAGCCGTGGATTTTCAAGGACCAAGGATTTTCGTAACAAGTTTTTGGCTTATCTGCATTGGTTCGACTTTTATTTGATTAGATGTTTTTTTTCTACGTTTGGAACAGGGTTGCGTGATTTTGATTTAGTCAAATCACAAATCCATAAATTAAATTTATTTCTGAATTGAAAGTCGCATCAAATCCCAAATAAATTTTATTTGTGATTTCCTTGGTCAACCAAATAAAAGATAAGTTTTATTTGTGATTTCATTCGTCAACCAAATAAAAGATAAGTTTTATTTGTGATTTGAACGCAGCGTTGCCAGGTTGACGTTTTTAACGTCATTTGGACGTTTTTTGTATCCTATTGACGTTTGGACGTTTTTTATGTAAAAAATTACGTTTTTTAACTTCCCAGTAATTTTTCTCTGTTACCAAATCTTGTAATAGAACTGATTTTGAATTATTTTCTTAATAAATCTTTACAAGCTTTGTGTTTTGCAGCAAGTGCTTCAAAAGATGTTTATTCTTTGGACATAGATGACTTAAATATGATGCATACCAAGCGTGGACTAAGGATCCCGTGTTCAAAAAATGGTTGTGGAAACACTTGAGGTTACGAGGCTTATTGTAATGTTTGCAATTGCACATTAAAAGCCAAATCAGGAAGAGCCGTTCTCTTGCAACACGCACGCTCGCAAAAGCATCAAAAAAGCTGTAGCAGCATAAAAAGTCAGAAAAAGTAGGCGACTTTTTTAAGACTTCAGAGAAAATGTAATGAACGCAAAAAAGGCTGAAACCCACACCAAATATCTACAAGACAAAAATAAAAATAAATTAAAAATCAACGCGATTATTTAGCTTCTTTAAAATTGTACATTATTGCCCTGAAATTTAATGGGCAATCAAACTACATACTCAAAAAAATTCTAAAAAATCTAAATAAAAAGTTGAAAATCTAGCTGAAACTTTGCAGATTTTTTATAATTTTTGCACAAAGTTTGAAATGTGGATTTATATTTTGTTTGTTATAAAATGAGCTTTTATAGAAAAATAATAAACATTAAATAAACAAAAGAGAAACAACCTAAATCGATCAAAATGGTGATGACTTAATCTGTATGTATAAAATGATTTTATATTAACGATCTCAGTTTACAATAAGTTTTAAATGTGCAATGAAATTTTAATATACCCTACGTACACATGTACCTTTGTATACAAAAGTTTACTAAGAACAATTTTTTGTACCTTCATTTGAGTAAAACGTTTTTGGGTAGGAAATGACGTTTTTTCAGACCAAGAGGGACTTTTCTCATGCCGAAGACCTGGCAACACTGTTTGAACGTCAACCAAATAAAAAATAAATTTTATTTGTGATTTGATTCGTCAAGCAAATAAGAAATAAAATATATTTGTGATTTGCTTGGTCAACCAAATAAGGAATCAAATTTATTTGTGATTTGATTCGTCAACCAAATAAGAAATAAAACCTATTTGTGATTTCAATCGCCTCCAAATCAGAAATCAAATTGATTTGTGATATGATTTGTAGAGCCAATCATTGATTTGTGATTTTTCAGCTAAATAATACTCTTGTAGGCAACGCAACTACTTCGGGATATTTGGGACTATTTTGAAATTTTCGAGACTTTTTCGGGATTACAGGATTTTTGGACCATTTCGGGGTTTTCGAGAATTCTTCGGGATTTTGTTGACTATTTCGGGTATTTCGAGACAACTTCGGCATTCTCGGGGTTATCGGGATCTACGGGACTACCTCGGGATTTTTGGGATCAATTCGGATTTTTTGGAACTATTTCGAGTTTTTCGAGACTACTTCGAGGTTTTCGATGCTCTCGAGGCTATTTCGGGATCTCAGGGATTTTTGGGAAAAATTCGGAATTTTTGGGACTATTTCGGGTTTTTCGAAATACTTCGAGATTTTCGGGGTTCTCGGGAATATATCGGCATTTTTGGGACTTTTTTGGTATTTTTGAACTATTTCGGGATTTTCGGGACTATTCCGGGTTTTTCGGGACTACTTCGAGATTTTCGGGGTCCTTGGGACTATATCGGGATCTTCGTGACTACTTCGGTGTTTTTGGGACCAATTAAGAATTTTTGGGACTATATCGGGATTTTTGGGAGTATTTTGGTATTTTTGGGATAACTTCGAGATTTTCGGGGCTCCCGCGAATGTATCGGGATCTTCGGAACTACTTCGGAGTTTTTGGAATAAATTCGGAGTTTTTGTGACTTTTTCGGGTTTTTCGAGACTCCTTCGGAATTTTCAGGATTTTGGGACTAATTCGGTATTTTTGGGGCTATTTCTGGATTTTGGAGATGTTCTCAGGATTCGCGAGCCTATTCCGGGTTTTTCGAAAGTACTTCGAGATTTTCAGGAGTCTCGGTACGACATCGGGATCTTCGGGACTATTTCGGGTTTTTCGACACTACTTGGAGATTTTCAGGATTTTTGGGACTATTTCGGATTTTTTGGGACTATTTTGGGATTTCTGGATTATTTCGAGATATCTTCGGGATTTTCAGAACTATTCCGGGTTTTGCGAGGCTCTCGGGACTATATCGGGATGTTTGGGACTACTTCGGTATATTTTGGACCATTTAGGAATATTAGGGACTATTTCGAGTTCTTCGAGACTACTTCTGAGGGTTTCGGTGTTCTCCGGAATGTATCGAGATTTTTGGGACTATTTCGGGGTTTTCGAGATTTTCGGGGTACTCATGAATATATCGGGATCTTCGGGACTATTTCGAGGTTTTTGGGAACTTTTGGAACTATTTCGGGTTTTTCGAGACTACTTCGAGATTTTCAAGATTTTTCGGACTATTTCGGAATTTTTGGGACTACTTCGATATTTTCGGTTTTCTCGGGAATATATCGCGATTTATCGGACTAATTCGAGGGCTCCAAAAACCTCGGAAGTAGTCTCGAAAAACCCTTAATAGTCCCAAAAATTCCTAATTGGTCCCAAAAATATCGAAGTAGTCCCGAAGATCCCGATATAGACCCGATAACACCGGAAATCTCCAAGTAGTCTCGAAAACCCGGAATAGTCCTGAAAATCCCGAAGAAATCTCGAAAATCCCGATATAGTCCAAAAGTACCGAAATAGTCCCAAAATTTCCAATATATTCCCGAGAACATCGAAAATCTCGAAGTAGTCTCAAAAAACCCGAATTAGTCTCAAAAGTACCGATATATTCCCGAGAACACCGAAAAAGTCGCGAAAATCTTGAAAATCTCGAAGTAGTCTCGAAAAACCCGAAGAAGTTCCAAAAATTCCGAATTAGTCCCGAAAATCCCTAAGTAGTCCCAAGAACCCCGAAAATCTCGAAGTAGTCCCGAAAATCCCGAAGATTTTCGTGGAACTCGAAGTTGGAAGATACTTGAATATCGCTAAAAAATCACGATTCGCTCTACAAATCAAATCACAAATCAATTTGATTTCTGATTTGGAGGCAATTCAAATAACAAATAAATTTTATTTCTTATTTGCTCTACGAACCAAATCACAAATAAAATTGATTCCTTATTTCGTTGACCATGCAAATCACAAATATATTTTATTTCTTATTTGCTTGACGAATCAAATCACAAATAAAACTTATCTTTTATTTGGATGACTAAGCAAATCACAAATAAAATGTATTTCTTATTTGGTTGACAAATCAAATTACAAATAAATTTTATTTTTTATTTGGTCAACAAACCAAATCACAAATTAAATATATTTGTTAATTAAAGGCGGATTTTAAATCAAAAAGGATTTGAAATCACACAACCCTGGTTTGGAATTGACCTTTTATTTAACTTTTTTGTTTTAAATGCAACGGTACAAGTAGGTATGTTAAAAATACTGAGTGAAGTGCTTCGGTAGTTGGCTTCTAGTGAGTATAGTTTACTTATTGAAGGGAAGAAGATGGGCCGAAAATCAAGCGTTGAATTCCGCAGCTTTTTTCACTTGGATACGAGTAGTGATAAAAAAAGTTGGAGTGTGTAAAGTTTGTAAAAAAAATTATAATTATAATAGTGATTATCTGAGTGAATAAGAATAGTTCTACTTACTATTCCATGATTCAATAATATAAGGTTGGATCACCTGGCAGTTGTCTCGCTCCCGCATTCTGCCTTAGCCTGTGTTGCTTTCTTTTTTTATTTAAAGAAACTGCTACTAAAATACAAGGAGAAATACTGTCTTCGTATAAAAAGTTCAACAGGCAACACTGCCGATATTTTCATCGATTGTTTCGTGGAAACTGATTTTCTTATTGCGCAAATTCAAGTGGGTATGCCAAAAAAATAACAAATAATGGAACTATTTTGAATTAAAATAATAATTTACATATTTCTTTGCAGAGTATCGGAGTTATTCAAATTTTGTATTCAATAACCTACGTTTTACAGCAAGTGCAGCCGTTGCAAGTAAGTTTTGCATGCTAGGATCTCTGTGTGTCCGTCCACGTTTGGCTGGTGCAGTCCACTGTTAACTAGAGCTGCAGCGATTTATTTGGTGAAGTGCAGCCGTTGCATACTTACAAGTAAGTATACCACCCCATAAAAGTGAAAGTGCAAATATTAATAAAGATTTTTTCTTGTGCTGGTCAGAATCATTTGTGTGTCCGACCACGTTCGCTGGTGAGGGTATTTTCACCACTGCAGCCTTTGGTTTGTGGAGAATTTGCATACTTACAAGTTAGTATACCACCCCATAAGAGTGAAAGTGCAAATATTAATAAAGATTTTTTCTTGTGCAGGTCAGGGTCATTTGTGTGTCTGTCCACCAAATATAATTCAATTTAAGATATTGAACATGTAATTTTTAAATGCAGCAAATATAATAATTTTTAAAAGATTAATTTATGTATATACATTAGGCCCATTCTTTTGCAACCGAGTTATGACGAAATACACGCAAAGCAACAACACAAACTCGGCTATTTATCCGAGTTCAGCCAGGTCGGTTAAAACATAAGCGACCTGAAGAGTAGTGTTGTTAAGTGAAAAAACTGCTCAATTGTGAATTGTTAATGGGAAAGTGGAGAGAGCAATGTTTGTTGTGGAAATACCTCGCATAATTACTAATTTCTATTTTTTTTGTGTCTACATCCCGTTGAACTAATCACATGTTTCTTGCCAGCTACCGGCAGAGTTGCTTGCATCCTTCTTTGCACGAAAAACTTGTGCACCTCACCGAAAAAGGCACTTAAGCGAATTTTCTTTACTACTTCAAGAAGGAAGGTATCCGATTCCCTACGGAACCAAATAATGGAGAAGCACTTATTACGTAGAATATAATGCAAGCGAAATTTTTTTCGAATGGTATCTTATTACCTATATAACTACATAAATTGATTGCCATTTTCGTTGTTCTGCGATATGAGCAAAATAAATAAATGCTTGTAAAATTAGGTAATTGCAGGGCCAGTGCAGTTAAACGTAATACTTTCTTTGATAATTCATACTAGTTGCACAATTTTTAAGGCAGATATCGCCAATGTGCAGGTATGTTATCGGAGCAGTTTCCTTATTATCATTATTGTTAAAAATAATGTCTCAGATGCGAATTTTGGGGTAGGTATCTTAAATGTGAACTTAAGCATAAAGGCAGCAAAGCAAAATATACTGTATTGTATCAATTGTATGTTTACTATTTGTATATTTCTTCATATCGCACACCGTCTTCAAAAGAGGCACAACTCAAAATAATACGTTTGTCAGAAAATGCGAAAAACTATTTCTTAGCACATGATAATCATATGGGCTAGGGCGACTTTACTATAGGTTTTTTTTAAACAAATTATACCAAGAATTTGATCCAGCTTTTGCTAAAAGGTAAATAAAAGCTCAGTGTACATTTTTAGGGTGATATCGCACACCTTTGAATAAAGGACTTGTTTGAGTTCCATTAAATTTGTTTTAAATATGTGTACTGGAATTTTAATGAAACCATGGTTTATTTTGAATATTTGGGAATATTTGTCGATCAGATTTCTCTTTGATCGGAATTTTATGAGAAAAAAATCCTCTCGTTCGTCATTTATTTCATTGTGGAATCTGCTTTATATATTTATCAGTGGAATCTGCTTTATATATTTAATTCAATTATTATATAAAAACGCATTTCAGCACTACCAGACTACTTTTCCTACTACCTTTTCACAAAAGGGGATAAAATGGTTACCCGCTTCCTCTTTCCTACTCAAATGCAACCTTACAAGGCAGTCGATTGACACAAATGTCAATATTTATCCAACCTTGTATTATTGAATCATGTTACTATTCTTTATAGTTTGTTTTATTCGTTGCATTTTCATCATATATTTTCTCTGCAGCATAATTAAATTTACTAACTCACCTTTTAAACAAAAAAAATTTCATAAATAACTGCGGTTGGCCTTTATTTTCGTTAGAGATTCCATTTCTCACCGTTATTAACCGTAAGCTCTCTCGCATAAATCGCTTTCAGAGTGATATATCACAAAAAGTAAAAAATAAATGGTTAATGATAGGAAAAGTTACAACGTGTTTAATGTGGACCAATTATTTTTGGTCTCTTGAATTTTTAGTTTAAAATTTCTTTTTCCCAGTAGGGTTTTTTGCACATTATCTTCTCTGTGCGAATTGATCGTGATAGATACGGATCTGAATAAGCTACTGGAACACGGCTGTTTGTCAAAAGCATCCGATTTCGAACTCGCGTAAATGTGCATTTGCTAGATGCGATAGCATGAACGCTCTTCGAAAAAATATGTTCGAAAGGGCTAAATTTTGCATTTTAAATGCAGCAAAAACGCTGCATTAGGCATTTTCAAACCTAAAAATTTCAAACCTAATTACACCTAATTTACAAGAAACTCACCACCAAAGGCGAATTCATATAAGGTAGTAGAGGCAGCACAAAAACTACACTAAAAAATTATACCCGCAATTGCAATAAGAACAAAGCATACTTAAATAAACACATCTTGACATCAGTACAAAAATCTAATTTCGCCTGTAACCCCACCTTGTAGTCTGGGAGCCAGTGACAGATTTTTGCGACCAATTTTAGTTTAGTTAGCTCATATTCATTTCAATGCATCGTATCATGCTCCTATAAAGCTTAGTAACGTTCCGCTGCTGCACCACGGGTGGGTTGGGCCTACAACAGCCTCCCACGCAAACAAAAAAAAAATATATATATATAAAATTTAATTATTTCAGTTTTGCTAGAAATGATATGAATGATAGAGTGTATAGTAAAGAGTAAGAAAACGATGTTCAGCTGTCTGTATGTTATACTTAAGCTGCTGAGGTGAATAAAAAAAAAAATAAAAAATAAAATTATGATTTTAGTTCGCACGAAAATTGGTCAGGTGATAGTTGATATGATACTTAAATCAAACATTAACCTGGCTGTATGTAGGTGGAAAAACGTTCAGCTGAGACAGTGAAGGTGTAACGCAGAAAGCAGGTATATAAACTGAACTGAACTGAACGTCTTTCCGCCCGCGTACAGTCAGATGAGCGGTTTTTTGGTTTAAAGTGATATGTGAACTATCATATAACCAATTTTCACCTGAACTGAAAGAATGTATCTAAAGTTACACGTATTTACTCATGATATAAAATATAAATTAATTCCCTAGATGGTCCAGGGGTCTTGATACAAAGGCAGTCAAAACACAGTAAAATTTATGGCTAACAGAGCGTAATTTGCCAAATAACGTAAAAACGCTATAAATTTGTTAAATAACAAGTATAGTTTCAGGCGCTAGTAAGAGAAATACCGGAAATTAGCTTCAGCTTTAACATGGCCAAACTGTTAAATTTTAGGCACTTCTTACACAGGGAGTTAGTGAAATAAAGAGATACGATAAAAGGCACTCAAAATGCACATGCATGCATCTACTATCCCGCAGTCGAAAATATTTCAGTTAGTACGATGAGCTTCTTCTGAATATTGTTAAGACGACGTGGATAATGCTACATAGTCGGGTGACATGAGATATTAAAGGTAAACGGAAAACAATTGTCTATAATTAACATATCGAAGTGGTCAAAAGGATTAGCTTAGGTGAAAATGCTTCAGTTTGAGATAGAATTTACATTTAAAGAACTTTTCTATTTAATGCAACAAGATAAAATCTTTATAGGAGCTGTTTGCTCATAGAGCGCTATTGCTATGCATATAACAGAGAGTATGTGACGTCGATAACGATGTTTAAATGGAGTTTAGTGTTAACCAGAGATGGCGAAAATAACCCTTAGGGCTTAGGTCTGGTTATCACTACCTCCCAGTTAAACGTCATTATCGACACTTTATCACCGGTTTGTGTTAACCCTTAGTAAATTGTTGTCGTTTGACAGCGTGAAACTCTCTGTAGTGCGTTTGGGATTCGGTTTCAGCGTTCTACGTAAAAATTTGTTATTCAAATAAGTTGGTGTTAAAGACATAAATCTGAAAAGTGTTCCAGCAACGTTACACAAATTTTAATTTCCTGTGCAATCGTCTTAAGAGCGCACATATGTACATACTAGGGCTCGTAAAATTATCCGACTATTCGACTAATCGGTTACCCGATTATTCGATTCGTAACCGTTCGCATGCTTATTAGTCGGTTAATGGTATTCGAATAGTCGCCCGCCTTCGATTATTCGAATAGTTGCTTTGCTTCGACTACTCGAGCATTGTAGCAAATCGAATTTCAGTAACCGAACTTTCATTGAAACTTCTTTGACAAATGAAAAATTTTTTTTTAAATATATACATGCACACATATGTATGTATATTCAGATACAAAAATGAGCGGACGCAAAAGGAGCAGGGTTTGGGATTTTTTCGAAAAATCAGAGGACGAAAAGGAAGTAACATGTTCCATATGTGGTGCAGTTTTGTGCTACAATCATCCACATCCTCACTGAACAAACATTTAACAAAAATCCATAACAAAAGCTCGCGAAAATGAGAGGTAGGTATTGCTTTAGCCATTGTCTCTAAAATATTTCGCAATAACATTTCAATAATTAGCGCACATTCTTGCAAAAAAAGTTTGCCTTAATTTTGCACATGCAATCTTATATATGTTCTACGAATGTAACAAGACTTTTCATATATGTATATGTATCTGTAAATGCAAAAAAAACTCGAACTTAAAATATTCGATTAACCGAAAATGAACGGTTAGCCGAATAATCTAAAGTGAACGGTTATCCGAATAGTCGACAGCTTTCGACTACTCGAATATTGCTAACCGATTAACAGTAGTCGACTTCAGTCAGATTCGAATAATTCGGTTAATCGATTAACCGAATTGCCCGAGCTCTAGTACATACCCTGTAGCAAATCAAACTGGTACAGAACATGCGCTGAGCTAGCCTGAAAAAGGACGGTACGGGTTCTTCATCTATCCCAACTCAGTGCTTTCAACTGTCTTTTTTAACATGGCGATGCCCTACGAAGTGACAATTGTCGCCCTCTGCAGAACTTTTGAACTTGTTCTGAGCTGACTCTGGCTTAGATGGTTCTGAGACAGTTCATATAACAACAATTCCTAGATAGTTCAAAAAGCGTCACCTCCGGGCTGGAAAAAATGTAGTTAGTTTTGAGCTGGATCTAAGAAGTATAGTGTAGAGCCTTTTCTTTAAATAAGCACGCATACAATTTTGTAAATAAAATATACAATTTGTTTTGCACTAATTTACTTTTTGAGGCAAACTGTGCTTTAAAATTAGGAACATAGAGTGTCAATTATTCCTTCATTTTCTAAAACCGTTATTCTTTAAAATAATTTATATTTGTTACGTATAATAGGTATTTCTGGAATACTTATAGTTAAAAATCTAAACTAAATCTTGTCAAAAAATGAGAAAAACGGTGATATATCGAATGCTTATTTGTGATAACTCAGCGTTAAATTGTATTAAATGTAT